TGGACAGAATGGCTTGCATTAGCCACATTCTAATATAATAATAGGATTCACTCAGCAACAGACAAGACACTGTTTTTTGTAAACTATAGACAACATCCTTTTGTTGTCCAAAGCAAGCAAAAACACACAACAATGCCAGCATCAACAGACTTTGCCAATGAAATGGCAAAGATCCATCATGAAATAAAGACAGCTCTCAAAAAGACTGCTTCCATCATGAAAAAATAGTATAACAAACATTGAAGGCTGGCATATGAATACTCAATCAATAACAAGATCTGGTTGGATACAATGAATCTCTATCTTTTCTATCTGAAACAGAAGTTGACAGACAAACAAATGGGACTATTCACTTTCTTGCCAAAATCAGCAACTCCATATACAAGTTGTGACTACCAGCAACTTGGAAGGTTCATGATGTCTTCAATGAGGCATTGTTAACACCATATATTGCACCAGCCTTTTCAAATCAAGAACAACCACTCACACTGCCACCAGAACTCATCAACAATGAGAAACACTATAAAATCGATGAAATACTCAACTATAAATTACAAAAAGTAAAGGCACAAGGTAGAGGCATGAAAACAACCATTGACTATCTAGTCAGCTAGAAAGAATATGGCCCAGAATCAAATCAATGGATCAACAAAAAGTATATGGATGCCAAAGAAGCCATCCACAACTATGAATGGCAAATGAATTGATGATGGCAGAGGAAGATTACTGCCAATGCCTGCAAAAGGCATGTTAATGACATATCATGACTGGAACAAGATATTGTGCTGGTGCTAGCAGAGGATATATTATCCACAAGACACCAGAAAAGACTATGAATACTGCAACAAGACCAGCAGACTTATCTTTAAATTAGCTATTGGGATGATGATCTTAAGAAGGGGATAATGTTACAATTTTTTCTATTTTCTTTTTTTTTTCCTTGATTTATTTGAGATTGACCTCTATTTCTGCTTAGTCAGAGTGCCTAGACCTGGGCACTTAGAACCATGAGAGTGTTTAGTCAACAGCACCACCCAGATTCTACTATGCTGCTGTGAGTCTCACAGCAGCACAATGACAGAAGCATCTCTTTTATCATTGCACAGCAGTAACAGCAGTAACAGCTCAACAGCTGATAATACTCTTTTGTAGATAGCTTAGCAATGCTGGACAAAATGCTATACAGCACCAGCAAGGACAATTAGGCAGTTATATTCTTAGAGCAATAATGATTTAGTATATAAGTAGTGTAGCTCTCACTGTAGTAACTCCAGCTTCAAGCTAAAGTTTATTTTTCACCATCTTATCTCAAGCAACTTGCAAATGTCTTGACTACACAGCACCAACAATGCATCAGTGGACTTAATCATTTTACCCAAAGTGTGAGGTAGTGGTCATTTATCATGTGTTATTGGTCATGTGGAATTTGGGCTTAACAGTTAATATCTCCACTTTACTTGCTTAATAAGCAACTTAAAGTGTTCTATAGAGAAAATATGATGTTTCTTGGGCATCTATGTGTCAACAGAGATGAGATAAGAGACACTGTGTGATGCAAAATTGACTGCTGAGGTCAGATCAGTGGAAATAGAGATATGAGTGGAAGAGTCAGGAAAGTCATCAAGAATGGGATCCAAGATATGATTGCCCTTGTTTTTTAGCAAGGACAGTCACAGCCTCCATCATGAAAAAATGAGAACTTGTGAATAGTTTCTGAAGCAGTTGGATACAGAAACATTATTCATGACAAAAGGTGGTGAAGTGCTGCTGTTAAGATTTCAAAACTTTTTCACTTTCCCATAACTATGCCAGCAATTGCCAAGCACACTGGATCACTTCTATACCACTAATGCATCATAGCAACACCACACCAGCATGGCACTACACTGACTGACAAGATGCAAGACTATTGTGAGGGCTCCTACAGGTTACAGCATAGATACAGGATAGACATGAACTATATAACTATTATTAGACACAGTAACTACAGTATTTAAGTAGTGACAGATAGAGAGTAAAACCTCAGCTTTGGACTAAAGTCTAATCTATTCTGATCTACACATGAACTCTCCACTCCAAACTAGTTGCTTAGCTATACATTGATCCTCTGCAACCAAGACTTACACATTCATTGGTGATTGTCCAAACACAAGACAGCTAGATGTTATTTGATCTTGTTTGTAAGTCAGTTGCTGATAATTAGTCTAAAGCTTGACACTCCACTCTCTCTCAGTAACCATCATTGGTGCTGAGCAAGCCATGCAAACTGAACTCCTATACACAATTATCATTACTGTCTTGCTGATTGAGACAATCATTCTGGTCAGCCTGTTTTTATATCTTCTCCCTCTTATCACACACTTGATAGACATCCACTATCACCAAAGCATTCCCCAAACCCCCCACAGACCCACCATCTTCCTCCTCCTCAGCTAATATGATGTTATCACAAATTCAAATTCCACCTTCATCTGCATCAGCCAGAGCCAGATCCTGGACATTGAAGAAATCAACCAGGTTTCTCAGTTGGATCAAGAATCTGTTTACATCCTATGCAGCTCCTCCCTCATCCACCTTTCCTGAACCCCTTCCTATGACTCCAGCTGGCTCAATGAATCAGGTTACATCCAGAGTCAGATCCTCCCAACCCTCCCATATATCCTTATCCCCTGACCTGACTCTCAATAAAGTCTGACAAGCATCAGCCTCTCATATTTTTCCATGTCCCCTAATAAACCCTATGAACATGCTTGAATTAGAAACAGAGGAGACTCTCCCTTTTTCAAACTTGTTTATCATGACAGGAATGCCTCTGGAATGCTCAAGAGATATCTTGCAACCATCAACACCAATTCCTAAACCAGAGTGAACCTCAGCTGAAGAGATGCAAACCACATACCTCAGCAACATGAAAGATCTTCTGGAATCACTTTCAGAACCCAGGCTCAGACCAGAGCCTAGACTCCAAGCTCACAAGCTATGAGCTTGTGCTTGACAGACATAGGGTCTATGCTCAACCCCTTTGAAAAAGAGGCAGTACTCAATGAGGAGTATGAAAGAATTTGGCAGGAAAGCTGATCAACTCTCAGGAGAGAGACCAGCTGGAAAGCAACAGACATGGGAAAGTTATATGAGGCTGCTCCTGAAGAGGAGCAAAACCATACATTCTATTATTTAATTAACCAACAGGTAATCTATCTTTTCAATAAAACCTATCCCAACTATCACCAACCTGAATCCAGCCCCTACAAATCAATGTGAGAGCAACAACCTTTGCCAGTCAGTCCACCACCTCAGCTTGCAATGCCAAATCCCTGGGCCACAGGTCTCAGTCCACATGCCACCCAAAATGATCTCTCAGAACTACCAGCTGTACTCATAGTACCAACAGCACCACCATCAGTTGAACCACATCACAGCTGGCTCCTCTGATCTCTCCCTCAATCAACAACCCTGACACTCCCTCCAACTATAAGAATGCCACCTCCAGACATCTCACCTGGATGGCAACCCACCTCTATGGACCCCTGAAACAATTTGAAATCTCAGATCATTGAAACACCCAAGTATTTTAAGGGTGCCAGCAATGATCTCTCTTGGTTCTTCAACAACTGTGAGATGTATTTTGAAGTGTTCTCATTGCACTTCACCATGAACACCCAGAGGTTCAGCCTCCACCAAATCTTTTTCTGTCCCTCCCAATTCAGGGGAGCTGCCCAGACCTGGTGGAACCTCCAACACCCCACTTCTATGATCTGATCTGCAAACACTGGAGGTACCCATCATACCCAGACTTCAAACACACAGTCTGGGGACAATTCTGAGAAGTAGCTGAAGCCTGGCTGCTAGAGACAAAATGGGAAGGACTCCAGCAATTCACATATAAGAATGCTCTGGAGTTCTTCCAAGAATTTGAAGACCTGGCATACAGGGCTGGATTATACAACAATGAACAGATCATATTCAACCAAGTCAAAAAGGCAATCAGAAGCATGGTGAAGAGCACCATCATGAAGAGTGACAATGATGCTCCCACCACCTATGCTAAATGGAAATGGTGGGTCCTGTGGATGGACTACAACTTCCACCTCAAACAGGCCAATGCAGCTGCCAAGAACCAATGCAACAGAAACCAAACCACCACTAAGACTGCCACCTCCAATGCCAACACCAGCACTAACTCCACCAACAACACTAGCAATGAGAAGACCACCACTGGTACTACCTTTGGTGGCCAAGGGCAGCTGATAGACATTGATAGGATGAAGCATGAAAGAAAGTGCTTCGGATGTGGAGAGAAGGGCTATCTCAGGAAGGATTACCCAAAGAAGAACAAACCAAAGTGGTTACAGGTGCGAATCTGAGCTCTACTGATCAAATTCGACAAGGTGGTAGAAGAAGATGAGTCAACCATGGCAAAGGTAGAAGAAGTGGAGAAAACGTCAGCCAAACTGGCAGAACAGGTAAAAGAGAAGCCAAAGAAGTAGTTGGTTTGACTTCTTCAGTAGGACTTTTGAACTCGGAGATGGACTCATCTGTTGACCAGACTAATTATACAACTGTAGATAGCTCTACAAATACATCAATATTTAACCATGCTCTGACTGACAAAAAGAACTGAACCAAAAAGAACTCAAGTGCCCACAAGACAGGCTGAACTGGGCAAGAGATGCCCAAAGGTGAGCTGTCCCCAAAGAACTTGCCAAAACCCGGCACATCGGAGTCACTCACTAATGGCTGACGTGAGTCCAAGTGTCGATTGCATGTTGAAGCAGCGTTGCACTCTGAATTCTGCTCCTTAGAATGCATTTGTTAGAGAAGATAGAAATATCGCATACGCCATAGGCTCTGTATGCATATATTGCCGCTTGCGCCCACCACCTAACAAAAATTATTAGGTGCTGATACCACCAATGTCCAACCCCCGAAGACTTACATTGCATCGTCATTGTACTTCAGTCAAACAGTCAGTCGAATGATCTTTGTCCATGATACCATGCTCACCCTAGGTGCACAAAGTCAGAGTCGATTAGCAGGACCGACAGACATCTCGACGCAGAACTCACCCGTATTGATCATAGTCCTCCATAAACCCCAAACCAGTTCCAAGTTGTCTTCAACGAGAGCTTTGTTCGTCGTCGTATCTGCGAGCCAATCTTGAATGGCCATCACGGAAAAGACATTCCCGGATTGCCAATACCCAATTCCTGGCACACCATCGTTACCGCTGAATTCCCCTGTGGCATTGTCCAGCTGAGGTAGAATCGTGTCTATGGCAATCTGCGCAATGGATACGCGCTTGTCATACGGCCGTGAGTTGCTAAAGTTCTGTGAGCAGTTCAAGTTAGCCAGTAATGTTATGGCGAATCGGCGCGTACCTTCCACGACAGCGTAGTCCTGGGCTTGAACCACGATCAGTGCAGCACTGAGATATATGATCGTTTGAAACATCGAAATACGTGGAGTAAGAAAAGACGGGGTGCTGTCCGAGTCGTAGTGTGAAAAGACGTTACAATTATAGTGAAGCTTGAAACCTGAAACAGAAAACCCACGATAGTGACGTTTCGCGTCTCCAGTATTTGACGGCAGAGATTAGCGCTCCCGAAAAGAAGTATTTGATTGATGGTGGCCATGATGGCAGCTTACCTTCAAGTTGTTAGGTACTCTCTCTTTCAACAAGCGAGTCCTCACAGGAAGTAGAACAGGTCTGGATTATGCGGCGTAAGCTGCATAGCGTGTAGTCACTGAAAAGCACGGCATAATGATTTTCGTGTCAGAACACTGGAATACAGCACTTTACTACTTATCATGTGATTGCCGTATCCACCAGCCTTCATACGTTCAGACGGATTCTAGACATTCAGTAGAGGTGAGAATTAGAAGGCGAACGTGATTATGGCTCACATGCCCATACCGTATGCATCCGAAACGATATCGATAATTCGATAATTGTTACGTAGAGACGGCCTCCAAAGGCTTTGGACAACGTTGTGAAACGAAAGGTCATGTAGCTAAATTAGTTTCATCTAACGAGGGTACAATCACAGCTCTCAGCGTACGTTTTGTAATCGAGTATTGGGTCCCCTGCAGCCGCAGCATTGGGCAGTGCTTGCTGATACGCATCGCCGTCTTAATTCTGGGGTAGAGTTGAATATACCACGCGCCGTCCACTGTAAAGATGAAGCAAGTAGTCCTTTCGGTGATCAGGGAGCAACATTGAAGATAGCATGTCCGTCTTTTCTAAAAAGCAAAACCATCGACAGTGCTGCAGGGAGGAAACGCTGGCTGCAGATCGGAGCAGGCGGAAGGAGAGTTCTTCTTGCCTGAGATATTCCTTCAACAGATTCCATAAGAACACGCCCCCCCCCTTAAAAAAAAGAAAAATTTGTGCATCAGAACGATGGGAAGGCTCTTGTCTCCTTCGAACCAGAGGAAAAGTCAGCGATCCATGACAAAGATGACATGGTGCTGAGTCCAAGTTAACGGAAATGCGTTCAGTCGAGGCCCGTTGCCTGTGATACTTGTAAGGTCGAGGGATTCGGTTATCAGTACCTGTTTCAACGCTTAGCGGTCCATAAAAACCCTTTGGAGTTCTTCCCATGGAAAAATTAGCGCGTCCTAAGGAAGTATGGAACTGATAGTTTGTGGTCTTGGTGTTGGCTGGTACGGTCAACAGTGAAAATCATTCAGACCACGTGTCAGCTGCGCGCCGAATCCCGAGTCCCGACAGGCCCGACTTATGGTCACCGATCGATCATGACTGTGAGTTCAAACTCAGCAATCACCATCCACAGTACAGCTTATAAGTTAGCATCAAGCTGCAACCATCAACAAGAACTTGAATAATAATGAAACAGCCAGAGGTGAGATTTTACAAACTAATTGCAGAAAGTCATGAAATCATTGCTTTGGTAGGGATAGATTCAGATCAGCTAGTTTATTTTTCCTATATACTCTAGCAGGTAGTTTACCAATGTTATTGAGTATACTTCTTATAAATAGTTATATGGACTTCCAAGTATTATCTTTATATGAAATTTCTTTAGACTTTCAAATCCTTTTATGAGTGGGATTTTTCATTGCATTAGCTGTGAAGACTCCTTTGTATCCTTTTATAATATGGTTGCCAAAAGCTCATGCAGACTCACCTTTAGCAGGTTCGATTATATTGGCTGCAACCATATTAAAATTAGGGACTTATGGATATTTAAGAGTACTGATTAATATATGTCCGACAATCAGTAGATGCTGGCTTGGCTGAGGCATGTTTTCCTTCAAGACTTCGTTTTTAACCAAGGGAGTCATAGCGAGGAAGAAAAGAACCTTGGTTGCTCAATTGAACCGGAGTTTCGGCATAATCCGAATTGACTTAGAATTCAACTTACAAGCTTGTTTTTGATTATCTTTATGTGAGCAGTCCTCAGCGCACACCGTTATAGATTTGCCTAACGGTGTTCATGTGCATCACTTGTCCATTGACAATGGAAAAATCCAAAAAATCGCGTGGAAGAAGCCCTCTTCTGCCGACATTCAACTTGAAAGAAAATGTCTGTGTACTGTCATCAACGGTCACCCCAATCCAGAATATCTGACGCAGGCGACGCCCGACAGTCGCACACCCTGAAGAAAAGATTTTTTTTTCGTTTCCATTCCTCTTGAGTTACTCTACAAAATCGCTATGCCAGCACGGAAGCGGGCCACGCGCCTTGTCACCGAGGCCTCAGACCTGACATGCCGTCAAAATCTCCGTGCTTCTATCAAACTGCGCCAAACGCGTGTCTAAAACGGCCCTGTTGTCTCTCCAGGGTGATCAGTATTCCTTGACCGACATCGGTTTCTATGTGGAGTTCGTGCCCTTCTCGCGAACCAAAAGGGCGGGATACTCCCTAGTACCTGCACGTGTGTAGGCAGAGACTGTGTTCTTCGGACCGTAATTTGACGCGGTGAGCTGCCGCAGCTGGCAGTTACTGTCTATTGGTTGACTTGCGTGTCCTAGGCCGCCTACATGTGTCAAAGCAAATGTAAAACGGTAAACTTCGCCGCGTTCTCGGATTGTCCTCGGGTCGGCAACAAGGACCTCGAAGGCTCAAAGTACAGGAAGACTCCACACTTTTCAATTTGCGACGGTATTCATGAGTCACATTACTTTGCTGCATATGGTCTTCATTAAGACAATGTTCAGTACTATTTCTGTCGAGCAAGTCTTCATTTTACCTACCCAACTTGCGCTCAAGACTTCCAATTGTCTGGAGGTGCGTGAGATACCTGATTTTCGCTGGGAAGATAACGGACCCATTATAAAAACCACCAGGGAGTTCAAGTACTGGGAATCCGTCATCGGTAGTCTAATACAACGTTAACGATGTAACGTGAGCCATCAGGCCGCACAGGGCAAATGTCCGCCGCCTCCTGTACCGCTTCCGGCCATCATCCGCCTCCTGCCTCCTGTCTACTCGCAATTTGCAATGTTACGTGATGGCGGCTGACCCTGGTGCATAATATTCTTCTTCTCCATTTCACCGCCCACCACTACCTTCCACCAACATCAATACCCTCCCACCATGGTTTTCACTCCTCCCGGCAGCTTCGTTATCCGCTCTAGAGAATTTGGCAACGGCTCAGAATACGACCAGGAATCCGACTCAAATATCATGCCAGATCACTATGTGAAGCGTCTATGGAGGACGCGCGCTCTTCCTGGTCCCGAAGGTCGAACAGTGAGTCCTAGCCTTGACATTTTTCTTCCCTTCGTCGCTAAGGTACAACACTGTATAGGTCCAATTCATCAACAAGGACTCAGTAGACCGTGCTATCCTCTATACGGTCACAGAACGTGGGAGCGCACTGCTCGTCAGGAACGGATCTGTCACCAAAGGCGCTGAGGAAGTCGCACGCGTCCTCTGGGAATCCGGTCGGAACGTGGATAAGAGCAGGTAAGCTTCATACCTTTACGCTACTAACACTCGACTGATACCCACACACCAGAATGTCCATCGGCACCAAGTCTGGCATGTTCAAGGAGATGCTCAAAAAGGGCGGGTCCTTGTACGTTATCTCTTATTGTTCCACCTCGTGTCATGGAATGCTGACTTCCAGGCCCCAGTGCATCGGCGTAGGTCTCCACCGGCGCTCATATTTCGGATCATCCATCTGAACCTTCCTCTAGAACACCGAGCCGTATCTTCATAGGACCGGACGGCTTGGAGTATAAATGGAAAGTGATCTTGGAAGGCTCAAATCCCGTCTTCCCAGACTCGTCTTTCCGTGTGCTGTACTGCAAGGACTCCAAGCATCCCATTGCTACAACAGCGCGTTTCGTCCAAAGGGACGGTGAATACAACGTAAGTGGCGCAAATGGAAATGGCTGGTTGTCGCTCTGATGTTCCATTTTCAGGACGAGACATACCCTATCTACATCGCTGAACGAGGCTTATGGATGGAATCATGGATCGTCGCCACCACGGCCATCCTCGAAGGATGGGATAAGCTGTCTTGATTCTGTTTACTTACCGCATCAATTTTTTATACACTCCTTTGGTTTCCTTCGTATTGTACTGTGATTCATGGTTAGTTTAGCATATTGTATGATCCTCCCATTCAACCCACCCTTGATTCTCCTTCTTAATGGGTTGCCCTCATTCTTTTTACATATATGTCCATATGTCTTTTTGCTTCTATAGCATCATTTTAATTGTTGTTGGTAACAAGTGCGTCCAGATGACCCTAAAACGTCAAAACAATAAGATTGTTACTGGTGTATAACAACTGATACTTTCATTGTCAAATCTATGTCGTAAAAATCAATAAGTCATGAATAGGCAGTGAAAGGTATCAAAAAAAACCGTTCCTAGTCCCGACGAAGTCCATTACTGGCATCACCTCCGCGATCTACGCATAGATGTTCTTCCCCAAGAGTTCGCTCAACTTCCCAGCAGCTACACCCTTTGCCAGCCTCTCATCACCCTGCACCTGCACTCTCGACTTGCCCACAAACTCACTACGTTGTCCGTTCGAAAGCCGACTCCCTTTCCCACCAAGCACCAACGAGAACCTTTGTGTCTTCGTTGACGTCTGCACATGCGTCAACTTACTCCCCTCGACCGCCCCGCCCCCGCCTCCAATCATTGTCCTTGTAGTGACACTCGTCGTCTGCAACGCCACAGCAGGTAATGAAAACCTTTTATTCCTCCTTGCCGTATCCTCCCTTCTCAGCACAGGCTCCTCCGTCAAATTCACCGTATGCCTCTTGCTCGACGTAAAAGATGCCGTGTCGAGGGAATCCTCCTCTATAGTACCTTCCTCCTCTACGGGAGATGTCAAATCGAACCGTGAATGATCGTGGCCCTGGAGATCCTCTAGGATTTGGTGGTAGCTCCGCGGCCGCGAAGGGGAGGACTTGACGCGGAGGCAGTCGCAAGAGAGCTCGTCATCGTCGACGATGGTGGTCGTGTAGTCCTGTTTGGGCGTGTCCCTGTAGATGGCCATCAGCGCGTCGGGTGTCGAGCTTAAAGGAAGCGATGGCATTGAGAGCCAAGACGGGAAGTTGGTTAAGGAGGTTATCGTGTTGTTACTACTTTCTGACGGTACGTGGCTGTTTTCCTCTTCGTCAGGCCGATCGAGAAGCGGGAACACGGTTTCATAACATGCGTTGCAGGCTCGAGCAGGCTTGCTTGTGTCTTCTTTGGAATTAGGATCCGTTATGAAGAATGTCTGTTAAGGTATGAAAATGTGAACAAATGGAAAGTGGGCTCGGATAAACACTTACTCTATCTGAACACGTAGCACAAACGCATCGCCCGCATATTCTGCAATGGTGTCTTCGTCGCCTCCATCCAAAGGACCTGCCACATCTCATACATCCCTCTGCTTTCTCGTCTGGTATCCAAATAGCCGGAACCCAATGCTCCACCCATCCCCTTCGTTCCTTTACATTCTTCTTCTTCCCTTTACCTGGAGACTTTGAAGAATGATCCGAAGGCGCAAACGGTAGTGCCTGCAGCGACAGCCGTATGTGGTTCGTTGATGACGAAGCCGTAAGCGTCGAATTCGGATTCGTGATATTCAATGACATTAAAAGTTGCGCCTTGGCCTGTCTTATCGTTGAACACCACTCATTTCGCTCATCCTCCGTGTCCGCATACAGCACGAAACTTCCCTCGGGGCTCAGAACCTCAAACCTCCTCTCCTCCCCAGCCTCCCGAGGCGACGTAACCACCACTTCGAGGTCTACCAACCCCGCCCGAGCCTTGTACACCCACCGCTCATCACCGCCACTCGCTTGCCGCCGGACGCCGCCTCCAGACAGCTGTGACTTTCTCGTCGGTGGCGGAATCATGCTACGGCTCTTCATCGGGAACCCGCTTATACGGGAACGAAGCAGACCAGGCAGCTCCGCCTCACTCTTGCTCCTTGTCCGTTTCATAAGCGGCCTTGACGGAGCCATGGGCTCCTGTGGCGCCCATCCGGGAATGGACCAGTCAGTCTTCATCCATCCACGTTCCGAGTCTTCACTTGCGAGCCATATGAGACAATCAGAAAACAAGAGGAATTCACGTTCACGTGGGTGCTCGCTCCGTTCGATCTGGAGGAGACTTCCGCGTTTCAGGAGTGTGCGGCCGGGACTTATGAGCTGAAATGGAAGATTTGGTGTGGTTTTTTGTAAAGCAAGAAGGGAAAGGGTTTGCGCATGGGTGTGGAGAGAGGAGTTTAGGGACTGGGTAACTAGGACAGTCGGACATAAGCAAAGGACGTTAAAAACAGTGCGAAATGACATACTTTTTGAAACAAGGGTATGAACCGCCATTAATTGCGCGTGCTCTGGATCATCTGGTGTTGTGCGTTCAATCAAGTCCTTTAAAAGGAGAAGATATCGCGGGCAACGTTGGACTATGGTCAAGAGCCAATCTCTTAGCTTTAGCCTACCACAACGAGGATCTGACTCTTGGGTAGCCAGAAAGATTGCAAAAGAAGCACTATACTGAGGATTAGAGCTGTTTGCAGAAGGCGGGGTGATGAGATTGGTGATAGAAGAGATGGTGGTCGGAAAGGCGGTAACGAATGGTGTATATAGGGACAGGTATGGAAAGTGAGAGAGTAGGATTGGGGAAAGTGGCTGGTTAGTGGAGAGGGGGAGAGAAGAGGTGGAAGCGGAACCCGAGCTCGGGAAAATATGGGACGTTAGCGCAGAGAAGAAAGACCGATGAAAATTCCAAATGTCAATGAAATTTGAGAACACAGAAGTCAGTCCGGACCGGTCGAGCAGTGGCTGAGAAGTCTCGAGAGATGCAATGATGGGAGTGAGGAAATGCTAAAGATCTGTCAGGAAAGGTAATAACGAGAAACATTTTGGCACGCACGGAATAAATCAGCTCGAGACCATCAACGTAGGCGCGTTCTGTCTCGTAAAACTCCTGGATGACCTTCCGCCTTTTCGGCTCCAATACGTCATGGACAGGTCGAAGGCTCCTCCTGTTTCTCTTCCTCAGTCCGTCAGTAGATGTTGGCCGGCCATTGGGCCTCTTTCCAGAATTGACGTTGCGCATCATAGCAGGTATCGGTAATGACCCGTCTTCTGGTAGCGAGTCGAACGACGCTACACTGACTACGGATTCCCTATAGCCTAACGTTGGTGCAGTTGGTAGCGATATCCGGCGAAAGGGTAGATGTGTAGGGCGTGGCTGCGGCTGGGCCTTGACTGGCGACTCAGACAAGGGAAAGGCCACACTCGACGGCTGGTCTGCTTACACGGAACGGGTTAGAGGATCGCCAATGTCTTGCCAGACAGCGTGACTTACCGGAATGCATTGAAGAGTAGAAATGTCTTGATTAGAGCGGGAAAGGAAAGGAAAGTGGTGGTACCGGCGAAGCTTTGTTATGTACTCCGTCGTCGACGTCAGTTGCTCGCCCCTGAAAACATTCCCCGTCCAACAACCTGATCGAGAGCTCCAGTCAAATTCTTTGCCTCCCGATTTGGAATTCTGCGCCGAAGTGCTTGATTACCGTCGTCGACTCCGTACTTTTTGCGCAAAGCAAAAAACGACAAAATCTAGGCGATATTGGACTCGCAACTTCAGCGTGGCTGGACTCTTAAGATGGATGTAAATAGCCGGGATACCGCTGGGGGATGCCGGTCGAGCCGATTTTTATTACTATGCCGATCCGGGAGTTGACACGTTCTGTCAATCTCGGGAAACATTCACTGCCGTCCAGGTTCCTGTGTCTGTTTCGGATGCAAATCTAATTAGTCTCGGTAGTGGAACGTACCTGCATTATCGTGATGAGGAGGGCATCATCATAACTTGTATGGATGCTCAACCCAAGCTCGAATCATTACAATACTACACTCCTTCGATCTAATTTTTGTTTCAACTGAACGACTCTGAAAGTTGAAAATAGACAATTGAAGTTTTTGACTTTGCGACGTCATGGTTTACGTGGAAAGAGAAGTTGCATTGGCTCTATAGCAGAAGTTGGTGTGTTCCTGTGTTCCTGCGCGCAATGGGCACATTTTTATGACAGAGATGGTGGGAGCAGGAAGGAAAGGAGCGATGGGGTTTGTCCTTTTATACCTGTCGGGAGGAGGGCGGGGGATCTGCGCATGTTGATCGTAACACGTCATAATACGTCTGGTCACCGACAATAAATATTTATACTAAGTTGCTCTCTTCACTCACATGAAAAACATGACTCTATAAAGCTCTGTGAAAAGAGCCGTAATGTCAACGAGTCTCTTGAGGAGTTGAACAGGAGATGAAAAATATCGTTCAAGCAACGAATCTGGCTACTATGCCAGCAGGCACTTGTTGCATGTAAGCTGCATTATATGCCGACATTGCTACCTTCGCTCCGGTGTACATCGCAGACGGACGGGGATATTGACTATGCTTCTCCCTTATGAGCCCAGGCCCCAGAGGCAAAGCATTCATATAGAGATAAGCGTCTTGGTGCTTGCATAGTCCAATTTCTTAATACAGAGTGCAAACAAAAAGGAATACAGCCCCCTTGACTTCGATCCCATCAGTGTTCAAGCCACTGAAAATTTCATAAAAGCATTACATGCAGACGAGTCGTAACCTTTAGCTGCAGATCTACTTGTATAAGTTAAATGATCCCACAGGCTCCGTCTTCCAGTGAGAAAGTCCAAGACTCTGAGAGCGAGATAAAAACTATCTGTTTTTTGAGAGAGAAATTGTCAATCAATTAATATTTAAGAGACCCATTACCATTATACATGGTCTCAAAATAAATAAACAAGAAATAAATAACAAGCTCATTGAATATGTAGGAATCAGATGGGGGGGGGGTGTTTTTTTCCAATGCTTGGCCATCCATTGACTCATTTTTCCCGTCATAAGATCGTGGAGAAACAGTTCCATCATGATGAAATTCATGACGATTCAGATCCAAAAAAGGAAGTTTTGGCAGAAGAATCTGAGCCTGGGAACTGCCGAAAGGTCCTATGAACCAGACAAAATCATACTTGCTCTCCGTCCTCCACCACCACCAACAGCTTATGTGGACCTCTGATTCTTCCCTTTTACCAACAAAAACACCCTCAGCAACGGATTCCTGGCGAAATCGCTCTCACAATCTTCTAACGAAACGATATGTTCGTGTGCTCATAGCAGGCATCGTTTCGGTTTCAGTACTTCTCTTTCTCTTCCGAGGGGAGGGACCAGAGCCTCCTAACTCTTATTTCCCCTTACCACTCCCATTCGAGTCGGATCTACCCCCTCTATACGAACAATATCACGAATACGAAAGACGGTTACCGCAGCATGATGCATCATTGCCGGCGCCAGAGGGGAAGCATGCCAAATATCTGTTCTTTGGAAACCACGCGTATGGTGCGTGTTTGAATTCTTTTTTTTTTCTGGTGTCGTTCCTCACTCCAAACAGCGTCGGGATGGGGAAATATAATGCAGGAGCTGCTAATGAACGCGCTTCTCGCATACTCGACGAAAAGAGCGTGCGTGACAGTGTAATCAAACTTCTACCGACTTCTCAAAGATTATACAGCTTTGTGTTCGACAATTACACCTGGTCGAGAGAGCTTTCCGACTACTCAGACTTTAATGGAAATATCATTCCGTCTCGAATACCGCTGTCTGCTTTAATATCAGGTAATGGCCCCTTTTCAAAGTTTACACCCCGCCCGCTCACCGGCCCACCCCCAAAGGTCCCATAATAGGCGCTCCATTTGGCCCCCGCAGCGATGTGCCGCGCGCGGTATCACTAGAATTCTTTCGACAGCAGTGTCCCGAACCTCTCGTTCTAACGACAAACGCAGTCAAGGACAGGCTGGGGAACGTAGAGGCCTCAGAGATCCTGCAGACATGGATAAAGGAGATTGACGCTATACCGGACCGATGCGTCGAGTTTGAGAAAGACACGCCCCATGTTTTCGATGTCTGGTATGTACCATGCCTTCTAGTAGGCGACTGTTTCGGGTCGGATAAAAAGCCTGGGAAGATCGAGGCTTCCGACCACAGTAAATTGAACCGGGTTTCCCTTAATGATAAAAGCCGACACAACTTGCTGTGGTCAAAAGCCTGGGTCAAGGTATCATTTGCATTCTGATTGTTTCCCTTGCATTTTTACCGGTGCGAGTTAGTCGTCTGCTAGGAGCGATGATTTCTCTTTAATGTTTCTTTCGGTTCTGACTTCCTTTACACAGGCTGTTCTCAGACACCCTTTTGCTCTCTATATTTCCACACATAAAGGACACCCCGATTATTACAGACTTTGGGTGGTCTCCACTCATCTTGTCCGCATACGATGCCAATCGCGAGCTCTTCGAGGACAAGACTTCAACATCCCTGCTCGGTTTCAACATTCCATCCTTCTTGTCTCCAACACCGCCTGCCATCGAACAGACCCCGCCTTACCCACCTTTACCGGGTCTCATCGCTCTCCACATCCGCCGCGGCGACTTCAGGGAACACTGTACGAACCTGGCTGGCTGGAATACACACTACAATGGCCTCAACTCATTCCCCGAGCTTCCGGACAAGTTTGTGCCCCCATACGATGCTCCGGAAGAGGAGAAGATATCCAGGTACCTAGACCACTGCTATCCCAACATTGAACAGATCGTCGAGAAAGTGAGGCAGGAGCGACGAGGGAAACCTCTCAATCGAGTATACATCATGTCGAATGGGGAGCGCGGCTGGCTGAGGGCGTTGAAGACGGCATTAGGACAGATAGGCGAGTGGGAGGGCATCGCGACGAGCAGGGATCTGACGTACACCCGGGAGCAAAAGTACGTCGCTCAGTCGCTTGACATGTATATTGGACAGCGGGCAGAAGTCTTTGTTGGTAATGGGGTACGTTTCGAAATTTTCTTCTTGACTTGTACGTGCGTGTGGCGCTGACTTGGCCCATCAGTTCTCGAGTCTAACATCCAACGTGGTGACACTTCGTATGGCAAACAACGTAGATCCTCAAAATACACGCTTCTGGTGATTTGGCATGGTTGGATAGATTTCTTCTCGTTTCCCGTGCGGCTTCTGTGTATTTGTTTTTTTTTTAACGATAAAGATACCCCATAAGTATTGTAAACGAGCATCGAACAGTACATATAGCTTGTAATACATGCACAGAGTTCTGGTCTAAGATCACGCATCAGTAACGGATCTCTGGTGATGCCTTGACGTCACGCAATATGTACTAGTAACGGAGATGAAACATGAAAAGGGACTGCGCAAACGTCCTCTCTTCTCACGGAAGGAGCACGGGGGGGCCTATATACTTGGTATAATTGCAAAAGACTTATCGTCTGTATTCGAACCGAGCGGACATCCCTGCAGGGCGAAAAAAGCTGGGATGAAAGTACCAAGGGAAAATCAGTTGGCAAATAAAGGATCAAAGCGCGGGATAGGGTCAAGACACTGGGGGTTCGATCATCTGTGTGTGATCCACCAGCGATACGAGGAATCGGGTTTGAACTTTTTCGGGCGTTGCACTCCGAAGAGAAACAGCGGCCGAGAATTGTTGCGGCGAGCGACGGGAGACACGGGGTTCCCCCCTTCGACTTTGCAGCGTTCAGGAAACATAACATAGTAGATTTTAGACTCAGCCGTAATAGATAAAATTAAAGGTTAGTTGATTGCTTCCGGTGCTAGAAGCCACGGTTAGTGGTATCACCGAATATATCCCGAGATACCCCTCCCGGCAATCTACACACACCCTCTTTCTCTTGTGCTTCAAAAAATGCTTTGGAGTCTTCTACGACTGGAAACTTCGGTAACGGGGATACTCAAGATTTGACTTTCCCCGCTATGATGGATAATCGATACTGGTATTTCTGACTATTCCTTCCCACGCGTCTACCGGGGAAGCCACGCTGTGACTCGCCTCCCCCCCCCTCCCCCTTACCCTTACCCTGCGCTAGACCCATTACAGTAGTGCATGTGTGCTGCGATCTCCAAGGGCTCTGGGGCATTCGTGAGATAGCTCTCTTTTCTCGTGCCCACGCGGCTTACCCCATATGATGACGGACCGATGGATACGAACAAGGTGAATAATCACAGCAACGATAAATGGAGAACTGATTCGAAGTCTGCGGTGAGAATGCCCTCTCCTTTTCCCAGCTACAAAGTGGTTACTCAACGTTTGGGAATAAGAGACGAATTTGTTATTTCACTTTGTGATCGTCAACGCGTACAGTCGTGGGTGAGCGAGGGGGGCGTGTTCGGTCTACCGCCCGAATGAACCCACCCAACTCATGCAAGGGCTTGCTTCTCCCGCGCACCCAAGCCCTTGACCACTTCAATATGGTGGGGTTTGCTCGTTCGGACGAATGGATTGGTCCCATGCCCATCAGGCCCTTCGCAACAGCCATCCCTCCATTCACCGCCTCCTTGATAGTCGTGGGTACGACTCCCCACGGCCGGAGAATCAGGGTCTCCTCCTCCGAGAGTTGATATCGACGGTAGTGTGCACTTGCCTCTCAAGACCGGGACGTTGCTGTAACCTATTATACCGCAGTTTGTCCAAGGATTTCACGCTCTCATCATGTCAAACCTCCGATACCCGTACTCTCGAGGACTCTATTTTTGTGATCATGATCGACTCGGACCGTAAGGAC